ATTAATTGGGATATGTGTTATTAGTCTAATTAAAAGCATATCGTGTTCCCTAATTTAATATTGCATAAATAACAAATACCCTAATTTAAAATTGCATAAATTAAGGAGATAAACTATTTTAACATTTTACATTTTAAGGACATAATTTTGAAAAAGTAACAAAAATGGATTATTCTCACGTTTTCTACATTTTTCGTGTTCTCAATATAACTTACCTCTCTCTCTCTCTCTCTCTCTCTCTATATATATATATATATATATATATATATATATATATATATATATATATAAGAATTGGTGAAGCTCTCTATGATCAAAAATCGACATATCTATAAAAAAATAACTGACAATATCAAGCGGAATCAAACTAAAATTGTTAATATACGAACTTTTGGGAATTGGTTTCAGGTCGGCAATGACTATAAAAGAAAAATTTGAGGTTTGTTGAAGAAACAACAATATATTTCTTTTCTCAGGCGATCGGAAAATAAAGAAACGGTTAATCTATTCAAGATAATTACGTATTTACAAAATACCGTCTCAATTCATCCTATTTCATAGATTCGGGATGTGATATGGTTCCGAAGGATGAACCGGATATAGACAGTTCCAACAAGATTTCATTCTTGAACAAAAATCCATTTTTTGATTTATTTCATCTACTCCATGACCGGAACAGGGGAGGATACACGTTACACGATGATTTTGAATCAGAAGAGAGATTTCAAGAAGTGGCAGATTTATTCACTCTATCAATAACCGAGCCGGATCCTGTGTATCATAAGAGATTTGCCTTTTCTATTGATTCATGTGAATTGGATCCAAAACAATTCTTGAATGGGGTATTCAACTCCGGGTATAAATGGAAAACGACATCTGTATTGGTTTTATTGGTTCTACTTCCTATTTTTTATGAAGACTGTAAATAAAAGGATTGGCCCCAATACATCTTGTATGCATACACTATAATAGTATCATAACAATGAAAGATTCTATATGATATGTCCAATGTGAATTGATCTAAAAAAATCCCTCGTTACTGCTCAAAGGAGCAATAATAGGTAGGGATGATAGGATTTGAACCCGTGACATTTTGTACCCAAAACAAACGTGCTACCAAGCTACGCTACATCCCTTCCATTGGTCTACAGTGTCA